ATATATATATATATATATATATATATATTCATACTTAATGCATGACAACTAAAGGTCCACATCTTTTGAAGGAATCAAGGGCACAAACTTCAAAATTTGCCTTCCTCTATTAGACTACAAGGTTATTATATGGATAAAATTAGAAGTGGAACTATATTTTCTATCTTGAGCTTTTCGGGTGGGGAGTGGAATATACAACAGAATCAGAATAAAAGTAAGTAAACAAACCAAAGGAATGAATCCCACAAGCACATACAGAAGCCACATGCCTTACCTTACGGAAGACAGTCAACTTGAAAATTATCTGCTATTTAATTAGTTGTACAGCCTAACAGCAGTTCAGGTGAAGAGCTGTCGGAAGAGAGACTTTATCTTCCATTGCAGCAGGTACATGCCTCTTGCTTGCAGTTTATATTGGAGCTTATATCACATTGACTTTCTACTTAAAACTATACTGGCTGTTCCTAAATGTGCATCTATGTGAAGGGTTCCCAACATTTTAAGCTGGTACCTTTGATGGAACAGTTGAACTCTGGTTTCTCCGGCTGGGGTGGGGCTTGGTTGTCTACAGAATGCCATAGGATACTAATCTATGCTTTCCTTTCTTTTTGGAACCATGCGTTATTTTAATTTTGTAAAATCTAAATGATACAGTGACATAGGAGTGCTGTCAGGCACCAAGAAAGTATCTGCAGACACATAATTGCCTACTGCCTTAAGGGAAGCAGACTGGATAATTCATTATACAGATCAGCACATATCAGTGTGAAAGAAATGTGTGTTCTCCTTGGTCTTCTTTCTAAGCAATCCTCTCCTTCTAAAAACAACTTGACTTAAAAAGCAAACAGGATTGTTTTTTTTAGTCAGAGGATTGCTTAATCATATTTCAAGTGCATAATAGAAGAGGAAAAGTTGAACAAGAGCAGGCGAGCCCCAAAAACGTCCGTCACTCTGAAGGAAGAAACCCTGACTAAACCTTGCCCAACAACAAACCAGCGGTCGAGAAAGGGATTTTCCCAACATCACTGTTGGGAAATACTGTCTCCAGTATTGTAATGTACAGGTTTGCAAAATCAGACCTCTTCCTCCCCCCCCTCCCCATTCACCTCCCTTTCCTGTCTCTTCACTCCAGCTGATATATGGCCGGGAATCATTACGGATCTCCCCACTCTGTTCCAAGTGAGAGGAAGCTGATGTGTGCCTCCAGGCAGATGCTACTGCAGCTGGACAGTCTTTATTGACTCAGAAGGCTGGCAAAAAGTTTAAGGTAGGTTTTCATTTGAAACGGGCAAAGTCACTGAAAGAACCGCGCAGACTTTCCCACTGAACAATTATTCTGCTTCACAGGTGAACTTTAGAATTTGTTTTCCCAAATTAATCTTCATTGCAAAGCCATCACATGTGGCAGATGGAAGGATTTTACTTCTTGTAAGTAAAGCAGAAAATAGGGAAAGTTTCCCATCTATTCATGGTTCTGCAAAATATGAAAAGCTGTCATTAAACTTGACATTATTATGCAATTTTTAAAAGTTTAAGCTTTGTTTTTATCTTTTTAATGATAATGTTTAATTAAAACTACAAAAAAGAAATGTAAAAATTGTGTGATTGACTCAGAAACCTGAGCTACCTTTAAAGCTCGACAAAGATTTATAGAGCTGGCTTTTTAGGGATTATTGTCAACTTTATCAGATGCATGCAGTTTTATTCTCACTGCACTTTTAAACAGAAAAAAGCCTATAGAATTGAAGAGAGACAACAAGGCAACCTCTTCCACTGTATTGCCTGTCTAAATTAATTTTCATATACATCGGGTTTCACCATCTAATTTTCAACAAGGATAAATCCGTTAAAACATGTTTTTAACATTGCTAAAAAAAATAATAATAGCTCATGTCTTAATAAGGTTGCCAAAATCTCTTTATAGTCTTTTATATTTCAGAATTTTGAGTAGAAAACACATAGGCTTTTTAATTCTTGAGAAATATGTGCAGATCATGACACATAAGCAATAATATTAATAATAATATTATTAATAATACTGCTACAAATAATATTTGTTACATACATAATGTTATCCAAATTGTCAACTCTGGGAATTTCTACTTTTCCTTCTGGAAAGCCTCATAATAAAATTGTATTTGTCTGCAAGAATGGGGTTTTTACTTGTTTGTTTCCAAGACAAAAAGTTTAATCTGCTTTGTTGCAGAGAATAGAAAAGAATAAAGGCTATCTGTCCTTTTTAAAATATTGAAGGGTGCAAGAGAAAATTTTCATTTAAACTGCCATCCCTTATCTGACTTATACTCTAAGTTAGATGTAACTATTTTTTTCCATTATTTTTGAAGTTCATTTAAGGACAAGGGTCAAAAATAATGGGGGGGGAGATTGGGATTAGTTTTATTATCTTGAATGAAAACTGTTGATCCACCTACTGAATAGATAGTTCCCTGCCATTATTACCAATGCTCCCCATAAATAGTGAATTCATGTTTTCCAAAATTAGGACCTATATTTGAAGTATATTCAGAAAGGTTTAAAAGGGCCAATTAATTATTCTGAGAAGTCCATTTGACTCCCTCCAATGAGATGGAATACCTTTTATATTCTAGCCAAATGTGTGATCAATTTGACCTAAGGCTTGTTTGTTGTAACCCTGCAGCATATTATTTAAATTTGTGGGGTGTGCTGCCCAAACCACCTTGATTTCTTTGCCATCAGGTCAACCTAATCAAAGCTGTGCTTTCTCAGGTCAGTCTCTTTGGATTGATCTGGGCTTCCACCCAAATAAAATGTGTACAGGGTTGGAATTCGTCCTAAAATAACAAATCTAGCTATAGTGTTCTGAAAGCTATTCAGATAATTTTTGCTCCTTTAAGCAAACTGAAACATGTACAAGTCTCTTTCTGTGTTGGGTTCAGTCAAAAATAGCTACCCTTAATTTCCAGTGTAAATGGCGAGGTTTAAATCAGAATGAGGTTACATAGGTTTTGTCCCAATGGATTCACATGGACCTATATTGAGTACCTAATTCAAATCAACTCACCCTAGATCTTGGGAGGAGTGAAAGGAATCTTCTATGTCATAAAAAGAAAAATCAGTGCAGTTTGGAGAAGACGTTATAGAGTGGTACAGATTTCTAATTGGTTGCCTTAAGTCTCTGCAGATTTTGAGATATTCATATCACCCCTTAAATCTTCCCCAATTCCCCAGCAACAAAGTATTTCAGCTTCACCTAACTGGTGGTTCTGAAGAATGCACACACACAAAAAGGTACTAGGAGGACGCATGTGATCCAAGAACCACAGATTACTTGTCCTTGTTTGCTCTCAGCTGTCTTAGATTTCAAGGACCACTTCACAGCTGTACTTGAAGTGAGTGGATATAATATTGTTGGCTGGAACTTAAATTTGCTATGAATCTTAAATAGTTCATAAAAAGTGGTAAGTATTTTGGATATTATAATTTATGCATCAAACTCCAAGGGAATTATGAATGCAGTGGGAATGGAACGAGATAGGATCAAGAGTCAATGATTGCTGAATGAATGGAGAATTCACTGAATTCTAATTCACTGAATTCAAAATGACAAGTAAGAAGAATTTACAATTATTTCTATAAGCAGAGAATAATCAAGAATGCAATTATGGAACAAATAAATGGAGATAGAATAAATACATCAAGATGAAAGAGAAGACCAAGGAAGCCATAGCTGGATAAAATTAAAGAAAATCTTAAAAGGGTTAAATTTAAAGGACAAAAGCTAATATGCAAAATCATGTATCAATATAATGATAGCAATACAGGTTTACTTTACTTTATTGATCATTGATTAGTCAGTCGATTATATCAGTATAACCATGGTAAGGTACAATATAAAAGGTAAAATGCAGTAGAAATATATAAAATATTACAATGAGATAAAATAGAATAAGATATAATATATAGATATAAAACTAGAATAAAAATATGGATAAAATAAGATAATTATATTCTCAATATCACCCCTATAATCTAATCCCACGTATGCCCATCTCAACCGGATCATTTTACTCAGATACCGTGCTATGTTAATTGTTATTTTCAAACTCTGTACAAACATAAGATAAGTTGTTTTGATAAGGGAATCCCAATGGGTCATTCGTTTAATATATAGACCAAGGTACCTGTCTCTCACCCACTTATGCAAATAACAATCAAATAGGATGTGAGCCAAGTCCTCTACTTCTGCCGCTTGAGGTTTACAAAGGTAAAATGTTGTAGTGAAGTGTTGTGAAGGATAATGCTATAAACTAGTTTTAGCTAACATTTATTTTTCTTATCCACTTTTGGGGGCTTATGAGTTCATATACATTTTCTGATATCTCCATAATGTTGCTTATGTTGGGAGACAATAGCATAATAGGTATGTATATCTGAGCCTGGAGTGGTTGGTACCAAATCTTGATGTTTCCACATGCAGAATATAATTTTTACCACTGAACTACAGCGATAAAACTGGAATTTGATGGTCTTCTATTTTGCACCCTGAGCAAACATAGAAAAATATTTGGAATTTCCCTTCATAAATGTCCAGTTTAATCTGTCTTCTTTTTCTGTTCTTTTAAACTCACAAGAAATACATTTCAAATATTTGCAGCAATATTAGTAAAGTAACTTTGAAAAATAGCAGAGAAGATTATATTATTTTCAAGAGGAAAATTCAGACAGATATGACCTTTCTAACACCAAAATGAGTTGCCAGGGTGATTTAACATAGCCTTAAACAATAATAACAAAGCATTCTAATTGTGTACTAAAATATTCACACGCAACATCAAGGAATAGTCATGACTCCTTGCGTACAAAAAGTCTTTAACAAGTGCATATTCTTCAGACCAAAACCTTTTTCAAAACTACTTCATAATGAATGCTTAAGGAGATTTTCAAGATCCTGATTTTTAGAAAGTTCTGTGAAGTACAAAAATGCTCAAAGTACTGAAAAGATTAATAATATCTATATAGTTAGATGGTCAGCTTTTAATTTAAACCCTGCTACATATGTAACCACATGATAAGTGCTAAGGAGGTGCATTATAAAGCTTACTTTAATTAATCAATCCTATGGAAGAGAAATCAAAACTATATGAATTTGTATCTGTATTGTTGGGTGGTGAGTTTAAACCACTTGCCTTTTGCACATATAAATATGTGTTAGAGGGATGCATTGTAAAGCTTACATTAATGAATCGTTTACATGGGTGAGAAAGAAGAACTGTATGAAATGAAAGACAGCACCTTTTTAAAGTCTGGTATGCAGGACGTAGCGCAGATATTTTGCGACCTGACACAAAAACCAATAGGAGACCTTCCTATTCTACAAACAGAAGTAGACAATGGGTAAGTCTTCCTCAACATTTGAGGGATTAATCTAGTTTATATAAATGCCATACTGTACACTGTTCTGTCTGCAATAGCAGAGAAGTAGAAACAGAAACCGACGCCTTGGTTTTCCAATGATTGCTCTATGATGCAAATGTATAAGATTAGACACAGCCCATCTAATCTTATGAAAGCAATTGCAAACTTAATTTATGTAAGGTAAACAGAGGACACAGAACCATACCGCCTTGTCTTCTTCTCTCTCAGGAACCCACCCTTCCATCAAACTGGAACGAGACTGAAGGTTCTACCCATTTTTGAAGCATCTTTGTTGGAAAAAGGTAGGGTACATTTTTTTTCCTAGCTCTTATTTTTACTTTATCTTACTTTGCTAAATCTTATCTTATTTCATCATATCTTATAGTGGCTAATATACACTGTCTCAGCATGGTCATCAATAAAGTTTATTCCACCATTATTACAGCTCCACCACTCTTTTAAGTAAATTAACGTGCCAGGTTTGCTTGAAGAGGCCATGCCCAGATATCAAGTTTTTGTTACCAAGATTTTGTTTTGTTAGTCCTTTCATCAGAGTTCTGAAAAAAGCTCTTGTAATTTACTTGCAGGGAAAAATAAAAGAAACAAACCTTCTCACTGTGTTTTTTGGCATTCAATGCAACAGGCACAAGGTATACATACAAACGACACAAGCAATCTGGCTGGGTATATGCATGCTGATGCACTTGGTACTCTTCTCAGGATACAGTATTGCTGATTCAGAGATATGCAATGCGGGGTAACAATTAATCCAGAGCCATATTTGATAATTAGGCGCAGTTACAATCAGGGATGGGTGCCACCAGTCACTACTGCTGGTTTGCTTGTGGGTGCGCTGCATGCATGCACTTGATGCGTGCTGTACATGCATGCACAGTGCAATACAAATTATTTTGTGCATGCGCAGAAACGAAAAACACACCACCAGTTCAGCCGAACCAGTCCAAACCAGTAGGAACCCACCACTGGGTACAGTATATCATTCTTTGGTAACTCTTTTGCCTGGAAATAGATTCCCCAGTTGAAAATATTTTTTGTGAAGGGAGATGAGATGCCTGATCTCCTATGTTTTTCAGGAGTTCCCATTCAGGCTGGATTCCATTGTTTGGCTTGTTGATCTGGAATATCAACCTTTCTTCCCTTTCCATCTGTGGGCTTGAATAGACCTTCTAGTTAGGGGCATCAGGAGGTCAAGCTATTGCTGAATTGCAGCTTCCAGCTTGACTGAGTGGCTCAGTTTCTGTGTGGTCACAGAGCTGGTTTGAGGTGAAGCTACAGTGAATAATTAGGCTGTTTTTACAGGCCCGGATTAGGGAAGCCAAGCTGTGGGGGTTTTTATCTTAACTTTTCTCTCTGTCATCAACTTGTGTCTGCTATCACCCTTTTCCACCATTTCTACTCTTCCTCTCTTATCAATGCAGTCTTTAATTCCAGCAAGGATCAGAAAATCCTCAGTCCCTACGGAAAAGGTTTATTCTCAAGGACTCTGGTGTCCCCCCTTCACCAGAGAGAGATTGACATAGTACAGAAAGAACAATGATAGGTTGATAATGATGACTAACATTATTAAATCAAAATAATGGGGCTGTGAGGGACCTGTTCTCCTGCTTTCCTCAGTCACACAATTCTTCTTTAAAAAAATTGCCTGGATTCTTTCCAAATCCTGCCCAGTTTTTTTTTTAAAAACCTGCAGGCTCAGGTATCATATATCATCAGATGAAGGGTATGATCCTAATTGTTCTGGAATGTTTGTTGTGTTTCATTCATATTTATCTTTGGTGAAGTGGCAGCCATATAAATGCCAAATAAAAGGGAAGGGGAGGAAGGGAGAGGGAGGAAGGGGGAGACAGGGAGCGAAGGGGAGAGTGGGGGAGAGGGAAAGGGACAGAGGGAGAGGGACAGAGGGAGGTAGAGGGAGAGGGGGGAGAAAAAGAGAGAAGGCAATATAGGAATATTTGGATCCTAGATTCCATTCAACCTGCACACACTAATGTAATGATGGGTGGTGATATGATGCAAATGCAAAAGCATACTTCATTTTGTCCTGCTTAGACCCCTTTTTCAGATTTACTGATCAAGTACTGAAATTTTCAGCAGAATTGGAGAGATGCTTGTGTCTTATTTTGCATGGTGGATTTTATTCTCTACAACCAAGGTATTGGTTCCATAATTTTTTTAAAGGTACAAACTAGTTCAGCAGCACACTCCAACAGTGTAGGAGGGTGTTTTCAGCCAAATCTATAATTAAAATGCACAAATACGGAAAGAGTACTTACCACAGATGTTTATAGCACAGCACATAGAAATTATGGATACGTTATGCTTTACCAGAAATTACACTTAGAATGACCAATGATAAATTGGTCGTCTTACCTTTAACGTTTGTACCAAAGACAGAATTTCCATAGATGAATCAGCTTTCATTTTCACTGTAATCCCAGATTTACCACAGCCCTGCCCAACTTTCCCGGCTACAGCAATTAACGTTGCAACAATCCAATGGGAGGGAGGCAGACCAAAACTGGATTAATTCATATTGCCAGTCAGCAATCTCTTTGAATGAGAATCATTCCACTCATGCTACAAAAACCTATTACTGGCAACCTATCCCATTTTGAATACTCCAAACTGTACATGAAAATAGCATGAATTTAAATAGATTTTCTTAGAAAAAAATATCCTCACCCAGAAACCAGAGAAAAAAAGAAGGAAAAAATATATTCAAGCAGATACCACCATTCAGTTCCTTTATTATTACTGTTCAACCTATTGTGGAATGTCAATCCTCAAGAATTTAGATCTCCATATATCAATTATGCTTGTACATTTTCTTACCTGAGTATGAACTGCCATCATTACCACTGGCTATAAACTATGGGGCACCATAGTCTAATACAGTTAGAATCCATGTAATTGAGTTTTGCTACTAAAGGCAGAAGATAATAAAATTCCTCTCTCCTTCTCATGTATTTGTCCCAAAGGTGCTTTTTCAGGAGTAACCAGACATTCTTCTTTTTTCTTTTGAAGACGTTTCACTTCTCATCCAAGAAGCTTCCAGCTCTAACAGGATGATGGGGAATGGAAGGATTCCACTATCCTCTCAGAGCTGAAAAAGCTTCTTGGATGAGAAGTGAAACATTTTCAAAAGAAAAAAACAAGGAAGTCCAGTTGCCTCCTTTGGGACAACCATGACCTGGATGACTGAGATATCTACAGACTTTCCATGTATTTGTTATTCAGTTGCTAAGTCATGTCCAACTCTTTGTGATTCTATGAACCATAGCACGCTAGGCTCTCCTATCTTACACTATCTCCCAGAGTTTGCCCAAATTCATGTTTGTTAGATTCGTAATTAACTGAAGAGGCCTGAGGCAGCTGAGGTAAGTAGAGCAGCTATGTATTCAATAGAACAAGCAACAACAACTATGTACAGAGATTCAGCACCTCGCCCTGCTTGACAGCTGTTTATACTAGAACTGTCAAGCAGAGCGACCAATAGGAATGCTTAGACAGCCCGCGTCCAGCCAGCTGCGCCTTAGCCAATCAGGCATGGCTGAGCTGTTGCCGGCTGTCAGTCGTAAGTCGAGGACTTGCGAATGGTCATAGGTTGAGGACTTTAGGACTGGTCGCAAGTCAAGGACTTAGCAATGTTCATTGTATTATTGACATTATCTAGCCATCTCATCCTCTGCCATCCCTTCTCCTTTTGTCTTCAATCTTTCCCAGGATCAAGGTCTTTTCCAATGAGCCTTCATTAGAAGGCCATAGTATTTGAGCTTCAGCTTCAGGGTCTGTCCTTCCTATGTATAGCAACCAGAAACTGAATCTGCCTTCAACATTGGCTAAGTCAAGTATTACCTTAACTAAGTATTAGTCAAGGTAATACTAGAACAGTGTTCTCCATCAGTTTGCTACCACTCTACAACCACCACTCAATTTCTTCTGGCAAGCTGCATTATTTTGTCCAAATAATGAGTGAAGAATGACTCTGAAAGGATGACAGAATTTATTTTTGAATGTGCACTGTAACAATGCACTGTTTTAATTGTTTAGTTATTTTTGATGTATTTAAATGTATCGAACTTAAACAATTGAAATTAAATAATAGGCCAGACATTACAAAAAGAAATATTATATGAATGCCCCACTTATCAATTGATGCAGCTATATAGTTTGTGAATTCCCATGCATTTGTTTTATGATGCCTATCTCTATCTCAATAATCAAAGTCACTACTATAGCTTCCACCTTCATCATGTCCAGTGAGGCTTAAGCTCCTCCCAGATGTTCATTGGGAGAGTGACAATTCTTCTGTTGCACCTGGCTTCCTCCAGAAATACTTGCTGCCTGGGTTCAGGTTGTTGTTTTCTCCACAGAAGAAGGACTCACTGTTCTCCATCCAAATTTCAGCCACAGAGCCAAGTTCTTGAGTTAGCTGTCAGATCTTCCCATCTATGTTTTCTCAAATTACAATAGAAGAATGTTTTTGATCTGAGAATATAAAAGGCTGCATGCTGCACTATAACCCTTTGGAGAATTGAAACGTGTATATATTCTTATTCTAGTGCACCATTAAAAAAATCAAGTGACCAGCAACTAAGGAAAGGCATTAAAATAATGTTGAGGTGCTAACTGACCCGCATGTACTTTAATGTGCAATTTATATTAACAAGTTATAAAAATCCAACAGCAATAGCAATAGTTAGGCTTATATACCGCTTCATAGGGCTTTCAGCCCTCTCTAAGCGGTTTACAGAGTCAGCATATTGCCCCCAACAACAATCTGGGTCCTCATTTTACCCACCTCGGAAGGATGGAAGGCTGAGTCAACCCTGAGCCTGGTGGGATTTGAACAGCCAAACTGCTGAACTGCAGTGCTGCATTTAACCACTGCGCCACCTCGGCTCTTCAGAAGTTGCAACTGAGCTTTTAAAATGCTTTTATTTTGCATGAAAAAATTGCATCAATATTTGGCCATTTCGTTTCTAAGAACTGACTTGGCATTAAGGACAGTTGGATTTGTATTATGGTCTGGCACAGATTCATCTCATGCAGGGAGAGGGAGACAACTTTCTTGTTATGAGAAGGCAGCAAATTAATCATTCATTTATACCAAATATATTTCACATTACAATGATAGAATAGCAAAGAGGTTTGTAGGATGTTTTCACTTAGGTCACATAATTATTTGAGAGGCCTGGTAGAGCCACACCTTTTGTGGTTCTATCTTAGTCAATTATAAATCCACCTGCCCACTTCCCTCTTTCTCTAAATCTCTTTTACTACCTTTTAAAAAAAAGGTTCAACATTATGTCTGAGTTGCTTGGCACAATGCTAAATAGTCCTAATCCCAATTTATGGGATTTCTAGATAAATAGTTCTAAAAGTCATAGTTCTAATATCAATACAAGAGGTTGCATTCTGCACTATAAGCCTTTGGAGAATTGAAACATGTACTATATATATTCTTATTCTAGTGCACCATTAAAAAAATCAAGTGACTAGCAACTAAGGGAAGGCAAGGGAAGTGAATTTCTAAATAAATAGTTCTAATACCAATTTACAGGGTTTCTAAAAAGAAAGCTTTCAAAGGCTTTCACAAAAGGAGTTTATGCCAGACATCCACAATCTTGAACTCAAGTGATTTTAAATCCAGTGTAACGCAGCTAGAGGCTCCAGTCTGGAAGAGGGTGGGTTAAGATTAGGTACACTCGCCGCCTGGAGTTATTTATAAAAATAATATTGAGATTGTTTTTAATCTAAGAATTGAATTGTAAATAAAGGTTGCAAACATTAAACAAGTTCAGACTAGACTTATTAAAGAAGGAACATCCAGGAAACATATTTTTTGGGACTAGACTCTGACGAAGTATGCTCACAGGATGTTCCTTCTTTTAATTCTTTATATTACTTCTCTTCATATCAGTTATTACGCAATGCCTGGTGCTGTTCAGTGCCATGAGCTTACCCAGCATGTTTTTGCAGGCACCTTACCAACATTTTCTGGCAATGAGACACAGTTGCAACATGAAGGAAAATACCTCTTGTGGTAAATTCCCAGTATGTTCATTGTTCAGCAGAAAGGAACAATTCATTTTGTGACTCCAATCATTTTAGATCCCAATTGTCGATAGCAATGCTCCTTAGCAACTAAACTGACTTTTAGTTCTGTCAACCCAATGTTAGATACCAGGACTTTTCAGTGTGCTTATCTTCCAGAGACATCCTAACAATTTCAATCAGAATCTTGATAAAAACTGTCATTCATCGTGAGAAGAGAGGACCGAGATTTTCATACTGAAAGTGTCCATAAATCTATTATACTTAAATGGGAGAAGACTTGTAGCTCTCCTGATATCGTAGGTGTACATATCCCTGTATTTCAGCTGATATCTCTAATGGTGAAGAATGCTGAGAATTATTGGGAGTTTTTGACTGCTAAGTCACATGAAGAGATGCTAAGAAAGAAACACAAAAAGATGCAAAGAAAAATATGATGGAACAAAAGGAAGAAAACCCCAATCATAATGTACTCTACCTTTTTTGCATTGGAATATACTGCCACCTCCTTTTTCAACTGCATTCTTTATGCTTATTGCTTAATCCAACTTTCAAACTGCCAGCATCTTAAAGAATCTTTTGTTATTCGCTGTGCAAATGACAGGGCTGAATTAATACTTCATTCTTTTAAACTCTAACCAGTTTAACAACTCTGGTAATGCAAAGGAAAGTATTCAACTTTTCAGCTTCACCATATATATTTATAGTAATGGTTTAGTTGATTTGAATTTACAGTTCTCTCAGTAGTTTGTTATGATTTAGGCAACATTAAGTGTATCTTTTTTCCAGCTCATATGCCTGAAGAAGCAGTTTCAGTATTCTCTTGATAAAAGGCAGAGATGAGAGGAATAGAATAGCAGTGCAGCCATAGGGGAGAAATTATCATCACTAACAATACATTTTATCTATTCTGTTAAAGTTTACAATGTGGAGTCATTTTGCTGAAGGCAAAAGATAGATTTATTTAAAAAATACAAATTGCAATAATAATTTGCTGCATTATAACCCTGGTTGTTTTTATTCTTCTCACCTCATGTGCCTCATATGATGAAAACTTTATAACTCATGGCACACTAATTTTGTTTTAGAGTTCTG